TCTGAGGGTGCTGCTTAAACCGCAAGAACTCCAGACGGTGCCGGGCCAAGTAATTAATACAGCCACCAGGGGGCGATGGCACCACGGTGATGCTGGGCCAGTAATCAGCTTGCTGTCATTAGACCCAAATCACCTGCAAGAATCATCCTCGCTGAATGGATTTTGCGCTACCCATATTCCACTATAAAATCAAGTACGAACACTAATTACATTTCAGCTTCAAATGAACGAGAATATGCAGTGTGTACAGTATGTACCATTGGGCAGGCCTTGGTGGGGAAAACCTTTGTTCTCCATCTGGCATCTGATGCCTTGTCCCTTAGAAGGGAATCTTAGTCTTCAAGCGATTATGAAGGAAACCATAGGGGGTTGGGAGGAGGCCTGGACAGGAGCAGGGAAAGATAAAGCGTCCAGATCAGAAAAAAATGTGCATTAGTGAAACGAAAACATCTCCCAAAAGACTCCTCCTACAACCAGGACAAGAGTCCAAAAGCCCTGAATTTGCATCTATTGAGAAAGCGCCACGAGACGGTGTGACTCTCAGAGAGGAAAGGCCATCATCTCCCCGGTGTGTCCTGGGAATAATCTAAAAAGAGTCATGATATTATCAAGGAGTCCAGGTAGTGTTATTGGGTAAGAACAGGAATGCTTGCTGACCACAAGGTCGTTGGTGCAAACCCAGCAGCCACACTCAGGGAGATAGATGAGGCTCCCTGCTCCCATGAACATGTACAGCCTCAGAAGCTCTGTACAGGGTCTCGATGAGCCTGAATTGACTCAATGGCAGTGGGCTGATAGCATTATTATTGTTGATATTGTTCTAATAATAGCAGAATCAATAATAATGCCCCAGCCCCAAAGAGCTCAGAACTAGCGGGAGTTCAGACAATGAGTCAACTATTAAAAAAACATCTGCTCACAGATGTATTCGATGATGGACAGGAAGTTATAAGGTACTGTGAGGACATCAAGGCAGGGTGGTGGTCAGAAAAGGCTCTCTAAGAAAATGACAGTTGCCCTTACAGTGGCATATGAAGCATCAAGGAAAAAACAAGACCGCTCTCTTAAAGGCCACAAGACATGAACAAAACTGGAGACATTCTGCTTAGCAAACTTAATCCATCTTCCAAAGATAACTATTTCATAACGCCATCCATATAAGGGAAGACAAAGAACAAGAAATGTGCTTCATATACCAAAAGAAAGCCTCCGATGACCAGGAGGAGGCCAGTGACGAGAGTAGGAACAGGGCGAGGGGGGTTAGGCTGTTGAGGAAGGAGCGGGGAAAGAGAGCCATCTTTAGGAAGGGTTCTACAGGTTGGTGTTGATTCCCTTTCTTGAAATAAACTGTGTAAAATACATGCTGTATGCTTTCTTAAGAGCCAACCCCTCCACCCCCCTCAGACTTCCTGCCCTCAAACTTAAAGATTG